ATTCTATTTTCTGTATGATCTAGTCTGCTTTTAATACTTTCAAGGGAAATTTTGACTTCTTGTATTATAGACTTCATCTCTAACAGTTCCATCTGATTCTTTTGTAAAGTGTGAAATTCCTCTTTTAGATCTTGCATGAATTTCCTTACCTCCTGGAACTCTTCAACTCCTTTCTCCTTCCTCTTCAGCAGTTCCTTGTCTCTCTTCTCCTCCATCTCTGTAAACTTTGCCATTATGAATGTTCTGAATTCTTTATCAGACATTTCCATGATTTTATTGAACTGTGTGTGGATGAAGAGGAGTTATCCTTTTCCCTTGGAGGAGAGGTATTTTCCTGCTTCCCCATATTTCTTGTGGTCCTGCAACGATTTCTAGTCATCTATAGATGTGATCATATGATTTTTATCTTTCTTTTTTAATGTGAGGTAATATATTTATTGTTTTGCATATGTTAAACCATCCTTGCATCCTGGGATAAAGTTTATCTGATCATGGCATATGATCTTAATATGCTGTGGATTTGGTTTGCTAATATCTTTTTGAAAAATTTTGCATCAGTATTCATTAGAGACATTTGCTCTTTAGTTTTCTTTTTCTTTCTTTCTTCTCTCTCTCTCTCTTCTTTCTCACTTTCCTTCCTTCCTTCTTTCCTTCCTTTCCTTTTTCCCTTTCTTTGTTTGTTTTTCTTCCTTCCTTTCTAACTTCCTTCTTTTCTTTCTTCCTTCTTTTCTCCTTCCCTCTCTCCCTTCCTTCTTTCTTTTCTTTCTTTCTTTCATTTCCCACTCTTCTTTCTTTCTTCTTTTTTTTTTTTCTTTATTTTTTGTTACGTCCTTGTCTGGTTTAGGGATCAAGTTAATGGAGACTTCATAAAATGAGTTTGAGAGGATTCTTTCCTTTTGAATATTTAGAATAATTTGAGAAAAATTGGAGTTAGCTCATCTTTAAACATTTGTAAAATTCAGAAGTGAAGTCATCTGGTCATAATTTTTTTTTTTGTTAGGAGACTATCACTAATTCAACCTCATCACTTCTTATTGATCTATTTTGGCTTTCTATTTCATCCTGATTCAATCCAGGTAATTGTACTCATCTAGAAATTTAACCATCTCATCTAGGTTTTCTAGTTCATTGGCATATAGTTGCTCATAGTATTCTCTCATATACGTTTTTAAAAATTTTCATTTATTGGTTGTAATACTATCAGCTTCATTACTGATTTTATCTATCTGGTTTCTTTCTCCATTTTTCTTGAGCAGTCTGGCTAATGATTTATTAATGTTATTTATCCTACCAAAAATCAACTTCTCATGTCATTGATTTTTTGTATAGTTTTTTTATTCTCTATTTCATTTATTTCAGCCCTAATCTTTACTAGTTCTTTTATTCTTTTATTTATTTATTTTTGTCGTTGTTGCTCTTTGAATTCCTTAAGATGCAATGTTAAGTTATTTATTTTCCACCTTTCTGTTTTTTCTTGTGAACACTAATGGCTATAAACTTGCCTTTTATGACTACTTTTGCTGTCTTCCAAAGGTTATGGAGAGTAGTGTTCATTATCATTAGTTTCAATGAATCTTTTGATTTCAGTCTTAATTTTTTAAATAGTTTGAAAATCATTCAGGAATAGGTTGTTCAGTTTCCATGTTTTTATGTATTTTTCTAGGGCTCTTTCTGTAGTCAATTTCAACCTTAATTCTGTTGTGGTCAGAGAAGATACCAGGTATAGTTTCTATACTTTTAAATTTATATAGGCTTGTTTCATGGCCTATTCTTTGGTCAATCTTTGAAAATGTTCCATGTGGAGTTAAAAAAAAAGTGTATTTCAGGGACCAGCAGTTGGTGTAATGGCTATGTTGCTGGACTCCCATGTAGTCCACCGCGGTTCGAGTCCCGGACCTGGTGACTTAAACTTACATTGGGTGCATGTGCGTGTGTGCCTAAGATCCTAAAAGGAGAATGGAGGAGAAGGGATTGCGACATGGCCATTCCCTTGGAGGGTGATATCTTGCTTTCTGTCTCTCTGTCTCTGTCTTTCTGGCAAGTGCATGTGCCCTATTGCAAAAAACTTTCCAAAAAAGAAAAAAACAAAACAAAAAAAACCAAACCCAGTGTATTCCATAGCTGCTGAATGAAATGCTCTATATCTGACTGTCAGGTCCCTTTAGTTTATGATATCAATTTGTTGCTATCTTGACTTTCTTTTCCTGCAGTTTTTGTGGTTTTGTTTTTCTGTTTTAACTGACCTGGGTGCTGGCCCATTTTTGGTCTTTAATTATATTGGAACAAGGAAAATTCATCCTGGTCCAGTTAATTGCAAAGTAAAATAACAGAGGGCAGACCATGGCCATGTGTGCAGAAAACCTTCACAGGATGCAGGCTTGCTTGAGAACGTTCTTTCCAGCTCTTACTTTGAGACTCAGCTGGCATGTTCCAATGTCACTCTCCACAGACAGCGTTTCTCTTCTGCCTCCTGCCTCACTGACAGACAGCTTCTTGCATGGATGGATGTCCTGTTGACTTCCCATCCAGCCCACCACGTGCTGCTTTCCATTTGTCCCAGCCACATCTCCATGGGACACATCTCCCTGCTGTCTGTCTCCTGGAAAGATCAGTTTGTTCTGACTATGCCACTTCTTTGCCCTCTCACCTTGTCCGAATCCTGTAGCTATGGACTCCTTTCTCCTGTTTGACCCTCGGTACATTTAGCTTCTATTCCTTATGTTATATGCTATATTGTGTTTGGGTTTACCTATGCCTCTGAGTTCTGTAAACTCTTGCAGGTTGATTTCCTAAGAGGACTGAAATATCTTATTTACTCTTTTGTACAAAAACTGAAAGCCCCTATCATATTTTTAAAAATCTTTTTGTTTTAAATATAGACAAATTCAAATTTTGAGAAAGGTTTTTGTACTGCAACATGTTTAATAGTATTTTGGTAATTTCTCTTGGCATTTTTCTTAGCAATACAAGAATGTTTGATAAATATGTAGTTTTATGTGATTATAACTTAGGTTATCAAATACAATGCATTGATGTAAAGAAACGAAGATGCGATTTGTGAATTCTTATTCTCAGGTAGTTAATTTTATTTTCAATGTAAATACAATTTTGGTAGATTTTACATAAAAATACCTTTATAATTTTCAATTCCTAAGCTTATGCCCTATGCTTAAATTCAGAAAATATTTTATATTGTAAAGTATATACATTAATATAAAAAAATCATAATTTCCTTTTTCATGATTCTAATCTCAAGTCCCATTCTCATCTCTCTTTTGTACCATCAGGTGGTGCTAAATATGTCTTATTCTTAATGATAGAGTTTTCAGAAATATTCCTTATGTATAGTTAGTGAAGTTAGACTTTCAGCATAGATTGATATGATTATTAAATGAAAATTAAAAATAGCATTATTAGAAAGTACAGCAGCTTAGTGTAATTCCATAAACTACAGAGATACATTAAGTGTGAACAGAATTTTAATGTTTTGATATGAATGGCCTCAAGTGTAAAAGCAAATCTGTGGTCTTTTGAGAAGATGTGTTTGTAAGTACATTACCAGGTGTCTAACACAGAGGTCATATAACCTTCCTCCAATGCCATTTCACTCCCTTGTTCTTGGTAAGTTAAAGTTGCCTTAGTTTGTTTATCTTGCATCAGCATATCAGGTTTCTTCATGTCATATTTGATTTGTGTTTATTGCATTAATCTTGACCCTTGGATGAAAAACGATTTCTGTAATTTGCTTACCTGAGGACCCTGGCAGAGGAGCGTCACATAACTGCGACCTCAACACATTTTTTCCTCCTGCATGTACATGTCTGCTCATTATGGGTGCAGAAATGTAATAGACCTTACAAGGGGAGCAGGTGACTCCCAGTGTCTCTTGATTGCATTTCAGTGGCCAGACAGTACATAGAATCATTCGTGTTTAGCACCAACATAATTATTAAATTTCTTTAGTAAAGGGAAAAACAGAGAGAGGGCATGTTATTGATTTCCAAAGCTCTGAGGATTGTTTGCAGTTACTCAATGCTACATTCTTTTAACAGAATTTTGTCCTGCAAAAATAAATATGTATTTCTTATATTTCAAAACTATTGCATAGTTAAATATACAAATATTTGATGACTCCACAATATTTCATTTTTATTGAGTGTCTTGTAAATCACTGAAGTGTTTTTAGAACTTCATTGCTCAGTAGTCACTGCCAGGCAGTATGAACTGGGAGTGCAAGGAGAAGGTGAAATCAAGTGTCTACCTGGGCCAGGCAGGAGCTGTTGAGGGTCGAGTGCAGGCATGAGCAGGGCTGGTTGATCTTGCTTCTTTTGCAGAGGCAGCTCATTTATAGAAAGGGTAGAGCTTGGCTTGCAGAATTACCTCCTTCCAGTGTCTCAGGGCCATGTCTTGGGTGTCCCCTGGGCCACCCCCGGCTGTCAGTTCTGTGGCTCTTGTCTTCTTCCTCCTCTGGCTCCCTTGGTCCTTGCTCTCAGTCAGAGGCTTCCTGCATCTTTGGAATAAAACAGCCCATCATTCTTCACTGAGTCTGTTCATGTACTTACGATGGTAGAGACTGGACTGATCCTACCTTAAATACTGCATGCAACAAGGCAATGGGCATGGTGGAGGGAGAAGATGAAAGGAAAAAAGGAAAGGAACCAAGCAACACAGTTGGACCCTCCTGTCTGTGCCTTCCTGTCTCTCCCTGCAGGGAAGGTGCCCACTCCCCCTCTCCCCTGCCCGAGCTCTGAGGACCAGAGACTGAGGAAGCACAAGTGGCTTCTGATCCCATTGTCTTTTTGTTCAGTGACCAGGAAGATGGGGTGTCCATGGCTCCTGTGATGGTTATTTTAGCCGTGCCTGGTGCAGTGGGAGATATTTGGGCATTGGGCCTCATGGCATTGTTTAGATCACATCTCGGTGGCTGCCTGTCCTTGAGCACATGGCCCATTCAGCTCTGTGCTTCCACAAGGAGCTTCTTCAACAGAGGATCTGCTGGGACACTCCTCCCAGGAGAGCAAGGAGCACAGCTCGAAGGCATCCCCGCATATTCCCAGTGCAGACTAGCAAGCAGAGCACACTGTGACACAAAGCTGCTTTCACCAATCCTCTGTCCCGCGACAGGTCACCAGTGTGCTCAGTAGCTCAGTTACGCCAGCTTCCCTGGAGTCGCTGCACCCCTGGTTCCTATGCATCCACTGTTTTGAGGCTTACTTCTCAAGCAAAGAAATGGGGGGTGGGTTAGCAGGAGTCAAATTCTGAGGTGACCACTGGCCCAAAAGAAAACCCACATGAGAGACCTAGGAGGTGGTGACCTCTTCCACTTGTCCCCAGTGGGGAGACTGGATAGCCTCTGGCAGAAGAGGAGGGCACTTGGCAGAGCAGGGAGGGGAGAATGGCTCTGCCCTGGCTGGGGAGGGACTTCCCAGCAGCACCCAGACTTGGAAACGCCCAGGGAGATGACAGGAGCCAACTTCCATGTCTGTGCAGGGTTAGTGGAATTAACCCTCAAGGCCAGGAGGATTATGGCGGCTTCAGTGAGGGGGCTTTTTCTGTAGGCGGGAGGAAGAAGTGGTAGTGTGGAGGCTGGGGCAGCGTTGGGCTGTGTGGCTGGGGAGGGACTTCCCAGCAGCACCCAGACTTGGAAACGCCCAGGGAGATGACAGGAGCCAACTTCCATGTCTGTGCAGGGTTAGTGGAATTAACCCTCAAGGCCAGGAGGATTATGGCGGCTTCAGTGAGGGGGCTTTTTCTGTAGGCGGGAGGAAGAAGTGGTAGTGTGGAGGCTGGGGCAGCGTTGGGCTGTGGTGTGGCAGCTGGTGGCTTTTTCTGTGGGCGGGAGGAAGAAGTGGCAGTGTGGAGGCTGGGGCAGCGTTGGGCTGTGGTGTGGCAGCAGGAAGGGCAGGCCAGTGGCCCATGTGGAACTCAGGGGTAGAACATGCCCATACTCGGGGGACAGCAGGTTGGGGATGCTGATCGGAGGGGGCCATTCAGAAACCCCACCACCAGGTCTGTCATCGTCAGTTAAGGAGGGAGGCCATGCCTGGAAGAGGGTTATAGTCCTCCATCAATCTTGTATGGGACGCGTCAACGCTTCCCTCTGGGCAAGTCCACTTCCCTTCTGCACCCGGTACCTACCACGGCATCTGACCCTCTTACAGCCCATGGGTACTTGGCAGTTACTGAACCAGTGTTCCATGCCTTTGTAAATCTTACTAGGCTAAACTCTACGTGTTACTCAAAATTGCAAAAGTAATTTCCCATTCTAGGGCTGGAAAGTGAGGGGGGGTGTCTCTTTTGATCAGTAAGGAATGTTCCTGTAGGCATCATGATGAATACTGGGACTTAGTTTGGATATGCTGGAACTTCTTAAAGCTAGGAGTGGATCCAGGTTTTATGGAGTCTAAAGCTGATACAGCTTGACTCTCTCCATAACAAAAGAAAAAGACGGAATTACAGCTATATGATTAGGTATGGAAGTTAACATTTATTTAGAACAAGGAGAAATAGCAACAAATTACACATTTGGAAAGTTGACAGGTCTCACCACAGGATAGAAACTGAGGAAAATGGCATACCATCACTGATTAGCTTCATGAAACTCCTCTCTCATCCCTTTGCTACCTGGGGTTTTGGTTCCATATTATTCAATCACCTTTCCTTATGACAGCATTAAAAAAATATATTATTATTTTTTTAGATTTTTTGCTATAGGGTGCATGCGTTCACCAGAGAGACAGACACAGAGAGACAGAAAGCGAGATATCACTCCTCCCCACCCCCCCAGGAGAAGTCATATCTCAACCTCTCTCCTCCATTCTTTTCTTGGAATTTTGGGCATGCGTGTATATGTGCCCCATGAGTTTCAATCTGCTGGGTCTGGGACTCAAACCAGAGTTGACCACACGGAAATCCTGTGCCTTAACCACTATGCCACCTGCTGGTCCTATGACAATTTTATACTATAACTTTCCTTTGAGTGTGTAGATGGAATTCAGGCACACTAGTGGGTCCTCGTGGACTCCCAGCATGGGGAGGCCCCTTCCAGCCAAGAACTGCACAGGGCCGCATGCTGGGCTGTCTGTAGTCTCGTGGTGGGCAGAGCTGTTTCCCAGGAAGCCCCCTGAGCACTGCAAACTGTGATCTCTGGGCATGAACTGCTACACCTGTTTTTTTTTGGTCATAGAGTGCTGATTCTTATCATGGTGGGCAGAGCCGTTTCCCAGGAAGCCCCCCGAGCACTGCAAACTGTGATCTCTGGGCACGAACTGCTACACCTGTTTTTTTTGGTCATAGAGTGCTGATTCTTATCCACCGTGTTGGTTCTCATCCTCTCTTGACCCAATCACTGTGTCCAAGGTGATGAAATACCCTGGTCTCCCAGGCCTGGGCACCCCATCCATTGTGGTCCCCCCACAACATCTGGACTGGGAGGGACTGGGGGGCCCTAAAAGGCCAGTGTATCCTTCCTCTAACGCAGGGACCACGGGTGTCAGGTAGGCGACCGTTGCAGTATGCATGGTAAGATGGCACAGTCACTGTACGGAGAGGCTGTCATCGCTCACACAGCATCCCATGGGAAGGGTCAGGTAGTACTCAGTGCCCAGCTAATGAGCAGTGAAAGTTGTCTGGCTCTCCCTGCCGCCAGGCTCCCGTCTGGGAACACAGAACTCTTGCAGTGTCGTTACCCGGCACGTTGCTAAACTCGTCCGGGGCTTCGTAAGTACTTGTTGATCTTTTGTGATAGGATTTCAGGGAGTGGCGAGAGCTTATTGATCCTTTAACGTGGCTCCCTGGAAACTGAGAGTGTCCATTTCTGGGTCATAGGGCTGTCATCGTTTGAAAATACAACGCGGATGTTTCCCTTCACATTTGTAAGTGCAAGTTAAGGTGTGAAGGGAGCCACGGGCATGTGACCTCTGATTGCGCGTCGCCAGTTCTGTATCTGTCCACCTTATTACTTACGGTGCCACCGAGCAGTTTCTTTCTCCTCTACTTTTGGACCAATTTTGTATGGCGGTATTTTCTTGGAGACCATGACAGATGGGTTTCAATATATGTTCGCGTATATAAAAGGCCCGGCATGGCGGTCTCGACTTTGGGCCTCTTGGCCATGCTCTCTCTCACACTGAGCATCGCAGGAGACAATCCCTTTGGTTTGTCTTCTGTTTCTTCGTCTTTCCTCTGCCCAACCAGGCCATGAGCATCTCCATCTGCAGCAGCACCGATGCCCATCACATAGGAAGTGTTTAAGAAGGTATGCACTGGGGCAGCAGGTGGTGTGGTGGTTAAGATGCTGGACAAGGCTGAACATGGTTCGAGTCCCAAATGAATGAGTAGGGCTATTTTGAGGAATATTGATTTTAAAAGATAGGAGGCAGATAGAGCTTGTTTTTGGGGGAAATTCTATTGAATGAAGCAGAGCATCTAAACTTACAGGAGACAATGGACAGAAAATCCTACTGACTGTGCACTTTCTACTCAGCACTACAGTAGGTCCTGTGGGAGGCACAGAGAATGTCAAACTAGACATTTGCCTGATTGAGGAGCTCAGGGTTTATTCAAGAAGGCATTGTAAAAAAGTGCAAAGTAGTGTTTCTTTCGGTCCATCATAGCGACGCAGATGGGGTCTTTCTAGCCTTTATGAAATGAGAGGTTATATGGGGGAGGGTGGGCTGATTTCCAGTCAGGACCCTTCCAGAAGCAATAATGGGAGCCCTAATTCAAGCAGGTTTAAATGAAAAGGAATGAGGAAGGGGTTCATTAGCTCTCTTACTGAGGCTGACCAGCAGTCGGGCCTGGAGAGGTGGGGTTGGCACAGTGGCATCAGGACCCAGTTTTCTCTGCTACCTCGTTCTCAGGCTGCCTGCTGTGTAGCCCCCAGGAGCACTGACCTCACCTCCTCATGGGTCTGGCAGAAAGTGAAGGCCTCCTTTGGTGGGTCCTGCAGAGGTCCAGGCTTAATTCTGATGGGCTCCAATCCTCACCAGGTCCTGTGGAATGTGAGGTTCTGTGTCTACACCACATGACATGCTTGGTCCTGGAGCCTGGGTGGAGTCAGTAGTCCAACTGAGCAGGATGTGCCCTGTCCAGATAACACACACACATATTGAGTACATGATAGTGCACACATGAACAGATAACACACGTGAGTACATGATCCTGCACGTGAACAGATAACACACATGTGAGTACACAATCCTGTACATGAACAGATACATACATGAGTACATGATAGTACACGTGAACAGATAACGCACACGTGATAATGCACTGAACAGATAACATATATTGAGTACATGATAGTGCACATGAACAGAACGCACATGTGAATACATGATAATGCACTGAACAGATAACATATATTGAGAACATGATAGTGCACATGAACAGATAATGCACACGTGAATACATAAGTGATTGGACCAAGAGCTGGGAGGATCAATTTGATTGGGAGAAAGACAGGACATATTATACAGAGAAATACGATTTGGGCTCCCATGACTTTAAAATTCTCTCACTTGAGACCCCATGGGAGGCCCACATACCAGCTAGCAGACGCTGACCCATGTGGTCCCCAATGCTGACATGCAGCCAATCGGCCCAGTGCATGGTTTTCTGAGGCGCACTGGTGTTCTTCCCCAGAGCAGATGCAGAGTGCACGCGGGCCTTAGCTCTGAGCCTCGCTTGCCCCTGGGCGCCTGAGGTGCCTTGCAGGGAACCAGTGGGGGTGTCGACACACTAGGCTTTAAGCCCTGAAGATGAGACAAAGCCTGGCTGGGTCCTCACTTAGAGGGTACATTTCCAGGCCTTGGCGTTCCAACCTCTAAGTTCAGGGAAACTCAGAGGTTGGAACATAGAGCCCAGTGAGAATTTCGTACAAGTGTTTTGAATGTCTCTAGGTCCTTTGTGACAGGCCCTCTCATCTCCGGGGCACCATGGGTCACCCTCAACATCTGACCCTCAACATCTGACCCTTAACACCTGACTCTTGACAATCACTAACATACGACTCTGCATTGTGGGATCAGAATGTAAAGCACCCTGCACAAGCAGCATGGCCTGTCCCTGTTCTGCTTTGTGATCAGGCGGCAGGGGTTGGTCCCCTTGCCAGGCGTCTTTGTCATCCTTAGAGGCTTTGCCTAATGGCCCCATTTGAGTGTTAATCTTGTAGACACCCTCCTCCACCCGTCCCATCTCCACTTTCTGGAAGGATTTTGAATGGAAATACCATGTTACATACCGAAATCAGCAGAGAGCTGTTGAACTAAAGTGCGAATGCCCTGTACATCGCATTGCCAGCAGCAAAGTGGGGTAAGAAGCCCTTGGAAGGAGGCTCCCATTATGATGTATTCACTCTGCAGGTTTATTAGTCCGCTGCCTGGTCAACACCTGGGAGCTCACTATACGCTTGCCTCTCCTCCAAGTTCTGGACTGATTTTTGGATCTCTTGAGTTGTCACCTACTTGGATTCTCATCAAATCACCTGCCTTGTCTGTCTCCCGTTTTCTCACTGCTCATCGTTTTCCACTTGGGCCAGCGGGCACCTACCCAAATCCCCGTCTGCCGAGGACCTGGGCTGGTGTCTCTGATTTAGCACTGGTTCTCAAGGACGTGGGTGTCCAGTGGCATCTGGACTCTGGCTCTCTCTGCCGCCTCAGCTGTCATCTGCTCCTCTGCATGGGGTTCTTTGAAAGGGAAGGGGTTGGCTTCCTGATAGAGGGTCACTGGTGTGATCCTGACCTGTGAATGTTCTGGATTTACTCTCTTACAGTCTCAGATTTGGAGCCAGCGCAGACTCAAAGGCCATCTCCTCTCTGAATGCTTTGGCCACGGGCAGAGGGAGTTCTCTCCTAACTACCTACACCCACGGTGAACCGACCCCTGGGAGCCCTGAGGAAGCCAGTCAATTCTTTTCCCACCCTGACCGCTTCTTACAGCCTGCACCTTCCATTTTATCTTGCTCATTCAGAGAAATGTCACAGGCCAGCACCAGGCCCGGGATGGAGTTGGAGGTCTTCAGTTTCCTTTCAGTGTGACTCTCGAGCTGTTTCATGTTCTGCCCACCTTTCTGCCCTCTGTTAATATAGACATAGACATAGACATAGACATAGACATAGACATAGACATAGACATAGACATGTATTTGTTCCCCTCTGAGCTATTGACCTGAATCTGGACACTGTCTCTACCCGAGACAGACCTTACTCTGTCTTAATAGAAAATGTCTCACCAGTGCTCTCTGCTTCAGTTATGCAGCTGGCTGAACCTGCGTGTCTTTTATTTTCTAGAAACCCATAAGAAATTGTGTTAAATTAATTGTTGAATGCCAGAAATACTTTGTCCAGGGTGTAGACTTTGGTATTTGCTAAGGCTGGGTTTCAATTGCAGCTGCCTGACCCTGGGCTTGCCTGAGCTTGGACTGGTAGGAGGTGTTTCTCAGCACTCCAGTCGCCGCTCTGGGAACAGACAGCCTCAGCTTCGCTCCTGGCTCCACCAGTGCTTAGCTGTATGACTTTGGCTAAGTATTTGTGTCATCGTGTGCAACAAGGGTGATAATAACTATAATCCCTGCACAAATCGTTCTGGAAATGCCTCTGATAAAAATACTCAGAAGTGTTAACTCTTGTTTTGGTTACCACTACTATGACTTAACCTCTCTACACCCCAAAACCTTCCTCGGGCTGTTGTTAGAGAAACATGGAGAAATGCAGCCAGCTTCTAGCCTGTTGTAAATCTTCCATCAATGATATGAGTTAAATTTATGGCACTCATTTGACCTGTCATCCCAGTAACATGATTAAAAAAACAACAACAACAACCTAGAAATGATAGGAAAGTGGTGGGACAGGAAAGGGACAGGAAGGAAAGTGGCAGGCTAGGGAAGGGACAGCGTGTGGGTAGCATGTGTGGGTGTGCTAGTGTGTGTGTCTGTGTGAATGCTCTATTGTAACAGATTTACTCCTGTATTTTGAAAAGTGTGATGGCTCCTTGATTTCACAAGTTCAGTCCCTTCTGGACCCCATCACTGGTTGATAATTACATCCTAGGCAATTGGTATTCCCTGGGGATTAATGTTTGGTACCAGCTTTAATGTTAGTGTCATAATTAGAATACTCATTATGCTAATAATGTTAAACATTCATCTTATGTATATTTATGTATGACAAGATATGATAATTCTATGTAACTTACTTGAGAGCAGGTAGGCTAGAGTATCATGTGAATCATTCTTTTCCTAATTAGCAGAGATAGGAAGGAGTCGGAAATTAACATGAACCAAGGACTCACAATGTACCAAGATCCTTGTTAGATGCTCTGAATACATGATTTTACTCCATCTTCACTTCCTTCTTCTGAAGTACCTTCTCCTATTATCCTCATTTGATAGGTGAGAAAACAGAGTCAGGGTAGAAGAAGCTCACTCCATAGGACAGGAGTTAATTGGTGTGTAAACCGGGAGTTGATCCCTAGCACCTTCGAATAAAAAGCATCACTTGTCTGTTCTGCTACAAAAGAGAACCTGGGAAAAAAATCCTTCTTTTTCACTCCATTTCCATCTTCCTCCTGGGAAGTGTGGTAAGTCTCAGTATAATTTTTGCAAAGTAGTTTGGAGGTTTAAGCAAGAAAGGAGCCGAGGCAAACGTGAAACACCATTTACATCAATGGAGGATCTCACCACTTAAGTTCTTATTAAAGGACTAGAAATGTCTCACTTGCTACAAATACCCTCTTAGGGAGATGGCTGAATTCTTACCTTTGGTTGTTTTTAAGGAGTTGCTAATAGACAAGTAGTTTTTGTGTTTTCTTCCTTCTTTTGCTGTGAATCTGAGGTAAGAAGCAGCAGGAGAAGGATGAGGGTTGGAGAGTGTGGTCAGTCATCTTCCCGTCTGAGTTCTGAGGACAGGACACTGCTCACCTCGGAGTCCACACCGAGACCCTGGATAGTGTGACTCAGCCAGGAGTGCCCTGAGGAGGCTGGAACCTTGAGCTCTCCTCGCTGGATGACCATGGGCAGTTTCCTCACTCGTCTGGGCTTCTCTCGTATGACTGCCTTCCTCAGGATTCTTTCAGTGCTAGTGACAGAAACACAAGTAATAGGAGCTGAAGCTTCCCTCCATCTGGCCTGCAGATGAATTTCCTTTAGACAGTGAGAAACTCAACAGCCAGTAGCTACAGGTTTCCCTCTCTCAGTTGAGGACACAAGACAGAAGACAACTGTTCTCTCCAAGTATTGAGATATAAAATTACAAGGAAGGTTTCTAGATGGTTTGTCCTGGGTCACAGGTTTCCTGTTTGATTGTGGCCAAGAGGATGAGCATCTGGAGCTGGTTTCTGTCACAGGAAGGTGTGGACAGAGAGGCTGGGCACATAGCAGCCATTGGGCTCACCCAAGAGAAGAGCAAGCATTGTAAATGCCAAGATAAGCCCAAATGTGTTTGCCTTCCACCAGCGAGGTGTTTCCTAACTCCTCCCGTTACAAACGTTCTTCTTTCCTTATCCTCGTCCCTATTTGGTGTGAACAAAGTTGTTTTTAGAGTAGCTTGGAATTTTAGCTCCCTGTTCAGCATTTTTTCTAGTACAAATTAGTGTGAGCAAGGACTGGCTTCCTTCCCTTTGGTGGGTTTAGAAGATCATCCAGTGAGCTGAGGGACTTATGCCTGGAAGTCAGAACAGATGCTCAGTGCTTATGGGAGACCTGTTCACTGCCACTGTCAAAACAGGGTGACTTTAATGCCTCTTCTCCACTCCTTCCTGATAAAACACATACGCAGGTGAAAAGAAATTAAATTGAAAATATTAAATTTTATTATATAACTCTATCTTCAAAAGAATCTGAAGCTAATTACCTCAAGACTCAGCTACGCACATACTTACAATACAAACATGATAGCCAAAATAACAATGACAGCTCACTACATTTAACAAAGATGAACTAGAAATATAAACTTCAGGGATTAAAGAAGGAAGTATATGGGTGAAACATGGGAGTGATAATAATAACCATGATTTAATGTTCCACCTAACTGTGAAGTTCCTGGAAGTATAGGAGTGAAACATGAGGGTGATAATAATAACCATGATATAATGTTCCACTTAACTGTTAGGTTCCTGGCAGCTAGGAGAAAGAAGAGAACCATTCTGGGTTCTGAGAGTATATGAATATTCTGAAAGTATACGGGTTTCTTAGCAGCAATAAAGATTTCCCTACCAAAGTAGGCTTTTTTATACCCATCTTTCCTAGCACTACATTCTAAAAGGGACTTTATGAAAGTCAATGAATGGGATAGGGACTATCTCCTCTGTAATAGCAGTAGACTACACAGGGCAGGTGCTGGGATGCCTATTGGCAGGGACAGGAGTCATGGCATTGAGGCCCCACTCCATGAGGGCTTTAACTGTTTGGGCTGAATCCAAACAGCATTCATTTGGGGGGATTCCGGGAACACCTGTTTGAGACATGGCTACACATGTTCATGATTGTAGGTTGCAGGCAGACAGTTCTGTGCCCCTGTGTAAGCAATCTCACCTCTCCACATGTGACAATGTGCCTCGTTCCTTCTTGAATGCCCTAATGCTTTTGATATCCTTCACATGTGACTTCTGGGAAGGTTTTTCTGATTTCTCCCCAGGCTGGCATTGTTGTCACACATGTTTGTCTTACCCATCACACTCAGCTCGTTGAGAGCCCTCTCCACAGTGTACATCCACCAAGTGCCTGGCCTACCTCAGTTACCTAGTCATTATTCTCTAATGAACAGATGAGGTCTACAAGGCTCATGACCTCCAGAAAAATAGAATAAGGACATACTACTTAGGCAAATTTTCAGGTGAGCTGCTATATGATCTTGAGTTAGATACCATATTTAATGCACAGGGGGTGGAAATGATGAAGATCTGCCATGGGAATTGGAAGTAGGAATTTCCCAAAAATCTTGAAATATTTTTACCCAAGCCATTAAACTACAGAGAACTGGAATGTTGGTTGCATTTAAGGAGTCCATCAGTCTGTCAGTCATATTTATTGAGGTTTACCATGGGCTAGGGCAGTTCTACACATTGAAAAACAGCAGAGTTAGAAGACAATACCCCTCATTTCAAGTGAGCGAGATCAAACAGATGGTAATTTCAGGCAGTGATAAGTCATACAAAGAAATATAAATAGATTGGGAGTGGGGTGAGGGAGGAGGGACAGCTCTAGTTTGAGAGCAGGGGAGTCTTCTTGGAGGAGATGGCTTTAGAGCTGACTTGAAGTGTGAGGAGAAGGAGACGTTTAGAGAGGGTTTCCTACAGAGAGAGGCAGTGCAGATACC